TAGGATGAAACTCTTAAGCTTATGTTGTTTAGCAGAATCTTATTAAATGAGAAATGGTTTAGTAGGACAGAAAGCCGCGCAAATCCAAGGGTTCTTCCTCACTGAGTCTCACAAAATGATTTTCTAAAAAATCTTGGTTTAATATTGCTCAAAAAACTTTGACTCTTAATTTAGTAACTCAAAAGTAGTACATTTTTACCAAATTTTTTTGAGCTTTTCACCTACAGCTAATGCTTCATTGTTAACTTCCAATTTCGCAATTTCACTCTGCGGGAGTTCTTCAATGTCAATGGGACAATGCAGCAGAATCTTTTAACGGGATGGAGGGAAAATGGTAATACATAAAGGGAACTTTCAAAATCAAAGATTACTTCATACAACTTAGAGACTAGTTCTTCTAAGGCCGAGCTTGAGGTGGCACCCTACAACAAATAAGAAAAGTAAAAAAATAATAACGAATTTTTTAACGCTTCATAAATGATAGAGAGCTGATCAAAGAATCGACCTGCTAGTTGCCTAGGAGTGTCAATAGACGTAAACTAGGGAAGTACCAAGCAAGGCTCAATCTTTATAGGAAACTCCGTTTAAATAGAGAAAAATCATCGAATCTTACAATAGCTTCACTTACAGAAAGTGTAGAACTTTAACTGTAGATTTATTTGTCCTGTGATTCAAATGTAGATTAAATTGTTCTTGACTTCTGAAACTTAATACAGCATTCATTGATCTTAGTGCATGGGCAGTAGAGACTCAACGTTTGCCAACAACTTTGTGGGAGCTCCTTCCTCATGCACTACTAAATAGTGCTTTCTACGAAGTAATGAATACAGTACTTTTATCTTCGGGAAACTATTCAGTATATCTTACGTTCTGCCTGTTCGCCTTTGTCAGAACCTGAAAGTGAGGAATATGAGGTATATCTTTTCAAATGTCCTACCACATACAGGAAGCTAATTAAGAGGGAAGCCAGAACAAGTTTAAAAAGAAAGCTCTTCTTAGGAAA